CATGATCTCACAGTTTATGAGTTCAAGCCCCACATCAGGCTCTGCACGGACAACACAGAGTCTGCTTGGGATTCTCTCTCTCTTCCTCTCTCTCTGCCCCTGCCTCCCTCTCTCTTTCCCTCTCTCTCCCTCTCTCTCTCTCTCTTTCTCTCTCCCTGTCTCTCAAAATAAATAACCAAAAAAAAAAAAAGAAGAAGAAGCAGAGGGCCACCTGGGTGGTTCAGTCAGTTGAGCATCTGACTCTTAATTTCCACTCAGGTCACAATCTCATGGCTCATGGGATAAAGCCTTTAGTTCATCTGCATTATTAGCACAAAGACTGCTTGGGATTCTCTCTCTTCCTCTCTCTCTCAGCCCCTCTCCAGCTCACACACATGCTCTCTCTTAATTAATTATTATTTAATTAAAAAAAAAGAAGATAAAGAGGAAAGAAACTCCAAGCAAGCAGAAGGAAGAAAATAATAAATAGATCAGAAAAAAATAAAATAGGGTATAGAAAACAATAGAAAAAAATAAATGAAATCAAAAGTTGGTTGTTTGAAAAGATGAAAAAAATACAAATCTTTAGTAAGATTGAATAAAAAAAAGAGATAAGATTCAAATTACTAAAATCAGAAGTGATTATTGGGGACAGTATCAACTTTAGAGCAATAAAAAGTATTAGAATACTATGAACAACAGTACACCAACAAATTAGATAACCTATAAGAAAGGGACAAATTCTGGGGCGCCTGGGTGGCTTAGTCGGTTGAGCGTCCGACTTTCGCTTAGGTCATGATCTCATGGTTCGTGGGTTCGAGCCCCGCGTCGGGCTCTGTGCTGACTGCCAGCTCAGAGCCTGGAGCCTGTTTCAGTCTGTGACTCCCTCTCTCTCTGACCCTCCCCTGCTCATGCTGTCTCTCTCTCTCTCCTAGAAATAAATAAAACATAAAAAAAAAAAAAAAAAAAGAAAGGGACAAATTCCTTGAAACATATTATGATAGTTAATTTCACGTGTCTGTGTTACTAAGCCATGGGGTGCCCAGATATTTGGTCAAACATTATTCTGGGAGGTTTAATTTTTGAGGATTTTTTTGGATGATATTAACATTTTTAAAAAAATTTTATGTTTATTTATTATTGAGACAGAAACAGCATGAATGGGGCAGGGGCAGAGAGAGAGGGAGACACAGAATCTGAAGCAGCCTTCAGGTCCTGAGCTATCAGCACAGAGCCCGACGTGGGGCTGGAACACACGAACCATGAGATCATGACATGAGCTAAAGTCAGGGGCTAAACTGGCTGAGCCACCCATGTGCCCTGAGATTAACATTTTATCAGTAGACTGAGTAAAACAGATTTCCCTCCCTAATGTGGGTGAGCCTCTTCCAATTAGTTGAAGGCCTGAATAGAATGAAAAGGCTGAACCTGCCCAGAATGAGAGAGAGCTTCCTGCCTAACAGCCTTTGAACTGGCTTTTCTCCTGCCTTCAGACTTGAAGTGAAACATCAGCTATTCCTGGGTTTCAAATCTGCTAGCCTTGGGACTGAAACTACAGCATTGGCATTCCTGCTTCTTTGGACTTAAATTGGAACTAAAAAAATCAGGTCTCCTGGATCTCTAGCTTGCCAACTCACTCTGTACATCTTGGCATTTGCCAGCCTCCATAATTGTGAGAGCCAATTTCTTATAACAAATCATATATATGTATCTATGTGTGTATATATAGTGTATATACACACACTATTACATATATATACACATACTATACTATATACATACACATATATGTGTATATTTATGTGTGTGTGTATGTATTTTTTTAAAGTATATGTATATTTATCGTATTGGTTCTGTTTTTCTAGAGAACCCTGACTAATACACAGATATTACCTAAACTGTCTCAAAAACAAACAAACAGAAACCAGAAATCTCAACAGACCTATAACAAGAGATTGGGTCAGTAATCAAAAACATTCCAAAAAAGAAGACATAGAGATGGTCAATAGAAACATTACAAGATGCTCAACACTGTTTCGGATTCTGTGTCTCCTTCTTTCTCTGCCTCTCCCCCACTCATGCTCTGTCTCTCTTTCTCTCAAAAAAAAAAAAAAAATGCTCAACATCACTAAATCATCAGAGAAATGCAAATAATAATGGAATGTCACTTTACACTTGTCAGAATGGCTAAAATTAAAAACACAAGAAAAAACAAGTGTTGGCAAAGATGTGGGAAGAAAGAAACCCTGGTGCAGCCACTGCGGAAAATATGGAGGTTCCTCAAAAAACTAAAACTAGAAATACCATATGATGCAATAATTCCATTACTGGGTATTTTTTAAACATTTATTTATCTTTTAGAGAGAAAGAGAGAAAAAGTGTGAGCAGGAGAGGGGCAGAAAGAGAGGGGGACACAGCGTCCAAAGAGGGCTCTGTGCTGACAGAAGAGAGCCCCTTGTGGGCTGAAACTCATGAACTATGAGATCATGACCTGAGCCTAAGCCAGACATTTAACTGAATGAGTCACCCAGGCACCCTCCACTACTGGGTATTTATCCAAAGAAAATGAAAACACTAATTCAAAAAGATATGTGAACCCCTATGTTTATTGAAGCATTATTTACAATAGCTAAGATATGGAAGTAACCCAAGTGTCCATCCATAGATTAATGGATAAAGAATATGTGGTATGTATATATATAATGGAATATTACTCAGCCAAAGACCAACAAAGTCCAACAATATGGATGGGCCTAGAAGGTATAATTCTAAATGAAATAAATCAGTCAGAGAAAGACAAATGCCATATGATTTCACTTATATGTGAAATTTAAGAAATAAAACAAATGAAGAAACAAAAAAAAAAGGAAGTAAATAAAGAATAGACTCTTAAAGGTAGAGAACAAACTGGTAGTTGCCACTGGGGAGGTGGGAGAGGTAAAACTGGTGATGGAGATTAAGAATACACTTACCTTGACGAGCACTGAGAAATGTATAGAATTGTGGAATCATTATATTGTACACCTGAAACTAATATAACACTGTATGTTAATTATTCCTCAATGAGTAAGTAAATAAAATCAACAAACAAGCAAAACAAAAACCTTCCAACAAAGAGAAGCCCTGGACCTGATGGTAAACTCCAGTAAATTTCATGAAACATTTCTCTTTTTTTACCAAGCATTTAAAGTAGTAATACCAACCCTCCTCAAACTCTTCCTCAAAATTGAAAAGGGAATACTTTCTAACTCATTCTATGAAGTCAAAATTACCTGATACTAAAGCCAGATAAAGAAAAATTAGGTAAGAAATCATAGGATTAGAAATTTTAAGTAGATTCTAAATAAATTTAAATAATAAAATGAGGGGTCCCTGGTTGGCTCAGTTGGTTAAATGTCTGACTCTTGATTTTGGCTCAGGTCATGATCTCATGGTTCATGGTTTCAAGCCCTACATCAGGCTCTGTGCTGACAGCACGGAGCCTTCTTGAGATTCTCTGTGTCCCTCCTGTGCTTGTGTGCTCTCTCTCTCTCTCAAAATTAATAAACTTTAAAAAATAAATAATAATAATACTAATATTAGGTTAGAAAAGAAAATTATAGGCCAACATCCCTTATGAATATAGATACAAAAATCCTCAACAAAATAGTAGGAAATTTAACTCAATAGCACATTAAAAGAGTTGTTATTATTCCTCAAAACTAAGTGGGATTTGTTCCAGGAACATAGGGGTACTTCAACATAAGAAAAGCAATCAATATAATACATCATATTAGTAGAATAAAAGGGAAAAACACATGATCATCTCTATTGATACAGAAAATGTATTTAATAAAATCCAAACTTTTCATGATAAAAACCCAGAAAACAAGGAATAGAGGGAAAATTCCTCAACATGATAATGGGTATTTATGAAAAACCTACTGCTAGTGTCAAACTCCACAGCTAAAGACTAAAAATATCCCCCTAATTTAGGGAACAAGACAAAGATGCCCACTTTAACCACTGCTATTCAACATTGTACTGGAAGTTCTAGCCAGAGTATTAGATAAGAAAAAGAAGCAGAAAGCATCCAAACTGAAAAGAAAAAGGTGAAATTATCTCTATTCAGATGACATGCACACGATCCTATATATAGAAAATCCAAAAGAATTCACAACAGACCTAGTAGAGCTAATAAATGAACTCAACAAAGTTACAAGGTACAAGATCAACACACTAAATCATTTGTGTTTCTCTGTGCACCACAAAGAATCCAAAAAAGAAATCGAGAAATCACTTCCATTTAAAACTACAAAACATTGGTGAAAGAAATTAAAGAAGAGCTAAATAAGTAGAAAGGCACCACATGTTTATGGACAGGAAGACCTAATATTGTTAAGATGTCAACATTACTCAAAGTGCTTTACATATTCAACAAATCTCTATCAAAAAGTCCAATAGCCTTTTTTGCAGAAATGTAAAAGCCATCCTCAAAACCATATGTAATTTCAAGGAATCCTGAATAGCCAAAACAATCTTGTAAAAGAATAAAGTTGGAGGACTCACACCTGCTTGGCTTCAAAACTTACCACAAAACTACAACAATTAAAACAGTATGGTACTAACATAAGAACAGACATATAAAGCAATGGAATAAAATTAAAAGCCTAGAAATAAACCTTCACAGATAGTTAATTTATTTTTTTATTCAAGTATAATTAACATACAGTGTTACATTAGTTTCAGGTGACCAATATGATTCAACAATTCTATACATTGCTCAGTGTTCATCAAGATTAAGTGTACTCAATCCTCTTCAACTATTTCACCTATCTTTCCACCCACCGCGCCTCTGGCAACCACTTGTTTGTTCTCTATATTTAAGAGTCTGGTTTTTGTCTCTTTTTTTTTCTTTGTTCATTTGTTTCTTAAATTCCACACATGAATGAAATCATATGGCATTTGTCTTTCTCTGACTTTTTTCACTTAGGATTATATCCTCTAGATCCATCCATGTTGTTGCAATGGTTAACTGATTTTTGAAAAGGGTTCCATGCTCACTTAAATTGGAATGGTACAGAGAAGATTAGCCTGGACCCTGAGCAAGGATGACATGCAAATTCATGAAGCATTCCATATTTCTGAATGTGAAAGCAAACTGTTCCTGAACTTGACTGTCTCTAGCAGAGCAATTTGGTCAGTGTATAAAACCCCAAGACATGCTGGGTCCAAAACAAACTTGAAAAGTATAAAATGAAATAATTAAAATGTATAAAATAAAAATGATAAACAAGAAAAGGGTTCCAAATCATTCAGTGGAAGCAATCTTTTCAACAAATGGTACTGAGAAATGGACCTTTATATTATACCATAGATAAAAATTAACTCAAGTGGATCAAAGACCTAAATTTAAGAGCTAAAACTATAAAGCTCTGGGGAGAAAACAGTGGGGAAAATTTTCATGATGTGGATTTGGGAACAACTTCACAGATATGACACCAAAAGCACAGGAAACAAAAGAAATAATTTTTTGTTAATTTTTATGAATTTATATATTGAGAAAAATTAAGAAATATGCACTATCAAAAGACACTATAAGGAAAATTTTAAAAGTGACTCATAAAGTGGGAGAAAATATTTGCAAATTCTTTATCTGACAAGAGATTAATATCAAGAATATATAAACAACTCAATAACAACAACAACAACAAATCCAAATTTTAAAAAATGAGAAAGGGCCTTGAATAGACATTTCTTCAAAGAAGTATACAAATAGCCAATAAGCACATGGAAAGTTTCATTATTCATGAGGGAAATGGTAACTGCAAGTCAAAACCACAATGTGGTACCACTTCAACCTAGTATGATTAACACACACACACACACACACACACACACACACCAGAAAATAAGAAGAGTTTGCAGGTTGTGAAGAAACTGTAAACCTCATGCTGGTGGGAATGTAAGATGGTGTAGCTGCTATGGAAAACAGTTTGGTGATTCCTTTAAAAGCTAAATACAGAACTACCATATGACCCAGCAATTCTACTCACAGGTATATGCAAAAGAATTGAAAACAGGGACTTAAACTTATATTTGTACACCAATGTTGACAGCAGCATTATACACAGAGCCAAAAAGTGCAAACTACCTAGGTGTCCGTCAACAGATGAATGGATAAACAAAATGTAGTATATACATACAATGGAATGTAAGTCAACCATCAAAAGGAAATGTTTTGGGGCACCTGGGTGGCTCAGTCTGACTCTTGGTTTTGGCTCAGGTCATGATCTCATGGTTTCATGAGTTCAAGCCCCATATTGGCTTCCAAGCTGATATTACAGAGCCTGCTTGGGATTCTTTGTCTCCCTGTCTCTCTGCCCTTCCCGAACTCATGCTGTCTCTGTCTTTCTTAAAATAAATAAATAAACTTAAAAAAAAAAAAAAAAAGGAAGTCCTTCCATTTGTAGCAACAGACTAAACCTAGAGGACCTTTTAAAAAAAGGAATGAAATGTTTTCATAAATACCATAATACAGATGAACCTTAAAAACATTAAGCTAAGTGAAATCAGACACAGAATATTATATGAATCCACTAATATGATGTACCTAGGGACAGAACATAGAATAGTTATCAGGTGCTGGAGTTGATGGGGCAGGAAGAGAAAGTTAGTATTTAATGGGTACAGAATTTATGCTTGGGATGATGGAAAAGTCTTAGGCATAGTGGTGATGATTACACAACATTGTGAATGTGTCTAAAGCCTGAAACTTATTTGTATACTTACAAACAGTTAAAATTATAAATATTATATTATGTGTATTTTATCATAATAAGAACAATGACCTCTACACCTAAGACTAATGCAATATTAAATCTCAGTTATATCTCCAGAAAAATTGATTTATGAATCAAAGACCAATATAAGTTAAAACCATAACATTTTAAAAGGAAACAAAGGATAAATCTTCATGATCTTGAATTTGGCAGTGGATTTTTTTTTAATTTTTTAATGTTTTATTTATTTCTAGGAGAGAGAGAGAGAGAGAGACAGCGTGAGCAGGGGAGGGTCAGAGAGAGAGGGAGTCACAGACTCTGAAACAGGCTCCAGGCTCCGAGCTGACAGTCAGCACAGAGCCCGACGCGGGGCTCGAACCCACGAACCGCGAGATCATGACCTAAGCGAAAGTCGGACGCTTAACCGACTAAGCCACCCAGGCGCCCTGGCAGTGGATTTTTAGATATGACAGCAAATGTGTGAGCAACCAAGGAAAAAATAGATAAATTAAGCTTCATAAAATTAAAAACCTTTGTGCATCTTGAAAAAGTTTTTAATTAAAAAAACACTTTTGTTCTTCAAAAGACACTATTAAGACACTGAAAAGATAACTCATAGAATTGAAGGAAATGTTTGCAAATCATATATTTATAAAAGTTTTGTATCCAGGATACATTTTAAAAACTCTTATAACTCAACAACAAACAATCTACCCAATTTTAAAATAGGTAAAGGGCTTGAATAGAAATGGTACCAAGTATAAGATATATAAATGGCCAACAAACATATGAGAAGATCTCAATATTATTGGTCATTAGGGAACTCTTGTACATTGCTTGGAAATATAAAATTGTGCAGCCATCTTGGAAAACAGTTTTGTGGTTCCTCAAAAATTTAAACATAGAGGGGGACCTGGATGGCTCAGTGTGTTAAACATCTGACTTTGGCTCAGGTCATGGTCTCACAGTTTGTGATTTTGAGCCCTGCATTGGCCATGGAGGGATCCCTGTTTGGGATTCTGTCTGTCTCTCTATCCCCCTCTCTCTCTGCCCCTCCCTAACTTGTACTCTCTCTCAAAATAAATAAATAAACTTAAAAAAAAAAGACAAATTTTAAACATAGAATTATTATATGACCCAACAATGTCACTCCAAGGTACACACTCAAGAGAAATAAAAGCATACAGTCCCACAAAAATTTATACATGCATTTTTAGAAAAGCATTATTCATCATAACCAAAAGACAGAAACAATTCAAATGTCCACCAACTGATAAATGGAAACAAAATGTAGTCTATTCATACATGGAATATTATTCAGCCATAAAAAGGAATGAAGTACTGATACATACTACAACATGGATGAAACTTCAAAATCTTATGCTATGTGTTGAGGAATAAGGAGTGTGTTAATGGGTACACCTCTTATTGAGACAATGAAAATGTTTTGGAATTAGACAGTGGTGATGATCACACAACCTAAAACCCATGGAATTGTACAATTTAAAGGGGTGAATTCTATAGTATGGGAATTATTTTTAAAGTATATATTTTTAAATGAGTAAGAAGGAACCATGAGTAAGGTTAGTGTCCTGAGAAAAGGTGAAGTTGGGTAAGGTAATATGGTCCAGAACAAAATCTAACTGGAGAACAAGATCTGAGTACGCTCTGAAGGAAGAGGAGAAAAGGCAAGTGTTTGTGGTAAAAGGCAGTCCAATAAGAAAGTGGAATTCAGTGACAAAAAGGGCTGGTGACTAAAGGCACCTTGTGGTGAGAATAATAAAAAGACTGGTTACAAAGAAAAGCCCAGTCTTGAGGGTGAAAAGGAAAAAGTTTGGTGGGAAGAGGTAGGTCTAGTATCAGAGATCCAGGAGCAAAGATGAAAGTCATGTGGAGTCAAAAAAGGCACAATTAGAGGAGCCAAGATGGAGGAACAGCATGGAAGTTTTTTGTGTCTCCCGTCCATGAAATACAGCCAGATCAACACTAAACTGTCCTGCATACCTAGAAAACTGATTTGAGGATTAACACAACAATCTGCATAACCTGAACCACAGAACTCAGCAGGATTGCAGCGTGGAGAGGTGAACTGGGGGAGGGAGAAGCTGTGGAGGGCAGAGAGCTGTTTTTGCTTGCAGACAGGAAGACAGGGACAGGGGAGAGTACAGGAAAAGCATGCCCCCCAAAAGCAGCTGGAAAGAAAGTGGAAAAGTGGAAACAGCTGCAAGGACTGAACAAAAAAGGGAGAAAGGAGAAAGGAGAGGGCTTAAATTCCATTAAGACTCTATAAACAGGGGGAGTACAGAGCCTGAAACTCAGCAGAACAATACCTGGCAGTGCTCTGGTGGGAAGGGCAAATCTCCAAGAGCAGAGTGAAGTCCAGAGTGTCCTTGGGGCACACAAGGAGAGGAAATTTGGTAGAGGCTATGCAGCCACCCATAGGCAAAGGTCCCAGCAGACACCAGAGAACAATCACGTTCGCTATTGCTGGAACAAGGTCACTAAGGGTGAAGCCTAGTGCCAGATGTAGGTTGTGATTTTCCATAATCGCTGAAATGCTTCTGCTACACGATAGCGTGAACTTTTTCTGGGGTGGGCTGGCACCCAGTTGCAGTCTCTGGGCATCAGCAGCAGCACAGTCCCATGAATATTCCTGGGTGCGGCTGGCACCCGGCCATTGCTCAGTGAGACCCTCCCACAGAGGGTCAGAAGGGGTCAAAAACACAGTCCCTCAGAAGTAAGAGGTTGGGAAACACAGGCACATCTGAGATAAATTTCAGGAGGGAGGTGCCACCTGGCAACCTGATGGCTTGGTCACGGACAGTGTAAAACCAGGCAGTGGACAGAAGCCAGAGACAAAGGACAGGTGCGTGATGGCTGATCGCAGAGAATAGAGTTCTAATACTAGAGACCCAGTAGCTGGGTGATGCTGTTTTCACATCTACTGCGCATGCACATACACACCTACAGGCGCCACAACAATCCATGCCAGTAAGCTAAGCAGTGCCATCTCATGGAGAACAGAGCCATTGCACTAAGCTCCCGCCCAACTGGGCCAACCTAGCTCTTCAGGAACACCACAAGTCTCACCACTTGCTTAGTTTATGGACTATAAAGTGCTTCACAGTTTGACTTCTGGGGAAAACAATGTAATTTCAATCATATTTCAGTCTGTTTGCTGGCCTATCTACTCAATTTTCTTTTTTTCCTATTCCATTTCTTTTCTTTTTCTTAAATACAGAAAGAGAAAAAATTTATTTTTGTTTTCAATTTTTATTAAAAATATTTCCATTTTTTCTACTATATTCTTTTTACTTTTTTGTAAATTTTTTAATTTCTACTTTACTTCAGTCATTTCATTTTA